CTAGAAAGCTCGTGGGAGAAAGAAACGTCATCTTGCGCCCGAAGAAAGAACCATTATATATACGTACATATTTCGAATCTCATACATATATATATATATACACACACACATATACACACAAACTTGAATCCATCTACTCGAATGTGATACGCCAAGTCGAAACGATTTCTCGGAATCAATTCAGCGATTCAATTAAACTCCTGCAATCTTCAAAGGTCAATCGGGACACGCCGATCTTGACGAGATTGCCGAGTTCCACTACGCGTCGGCGGATCGTCTTTAATCGACTTGCAGAGAGAGAGAGAAAGAGAGAGAGAAAGAGAGTTCCTTCTCTCGTCTCTTTGGAAAGCTGGGAAATATTAAATTCCCGCTCTCTTTATATGCGATGGCGGCGGCCGCGACGGAAAAAAGGATAAGAGGATAAGAGAGCCGGACCAGCCGTCGTGGATGGTCCTCGAAGAGAACGCGGATTCGGAACACTTCCGAATGCACATCCCAATGCATTCTGATATTAGCGTGCGACGCTGCAGACGCGAGAGGTTACCGTCCTCTCTTGCAATTGTAATGAGCTACGTCCGCTGCGCGCGACGTAGGGATTTGCCGGCAGTAATAGTATGCAAACATCCTTCTGCGGCGGGAACACGAGGACCTCCGCGCCTCTTTCCCACTTTTCCCGTCGCAACCGTGCGCGCGACGTCACGACGAGTTAATACATCTGCCCGCACGGACACGGAGAAAGACAACCGCGGGATGCTTGTTCTCTCTCGCTCGGCTGCGCGTCGACGACGGCAGAAATTTTCTCGCCGTTTTACACCGCGCCGTTGCATGGCCGCAACGCGGCTCGGGAGAAAGGCGAGTTTTCCGCTCTTCGCGTTGTAAAAATCTCTGCAACTGATGTCTCTTCGCCGCCGACGCGTTCCGTCCTTCCGCAGACATCGGCGCACATGTGCGCGGAAGGACATCGTAACGAAGAAACATCCTGGTTTGTAATGCGATACGCGCGGAAAAGCGCTTTTTTAAAACATACAGTCTCTCTTATCTCTTCATGAAATCTCTTCATTATTTTAAAAAACATTTATTGTTGCACACAAATTTAAAACTGAGAAATTTATATTAAAAAAAAAAACTATTAATAAAAGTTGCAGAAACATTTGTGAAACATATCTTTCTATTTGCAAGTTTAAATATGTTTTTCTCCAAATTTATATAAATATTAACTTTCGCGCGTGACTGAAACACACGTCTCGTGGATTTTCTGATATCGCGTTTTTTTTTTTTTTTAGCAAAAGCGCGCGCCGCGATGTTTGCTTTCTCATTTCAACGCGATATTTTTATGAATTCTCGTGTCGCGACGTGTCGTTTACGCGAACATCTTTCCCGCGCGGTTGTATTCTTTTGTATTCAAAACAAAGATGATTGCGCCGTCGAGACGGTCGCGTGCGCTTTTTTTCGCAATAATGACACGACAAGCAGCGAAATGGAACGAAAACATAGCTGTGGAAAAATCGCGTTTGTCGAACAAATTATAAGAAAATAGTTATGACGAAGAGTTGGCGCGTCGCGCGTACACCACCGTCGCGCGCGGTTGTGTAAAATAGCGCTCTTTCTCTGCACTAAGAAAAATATAGTAACGTCGGAGTTTGCAAACTACAGTCATCCCGCCGCCATCGCTGTTTTAGACAATTCTGCGAAAGCAGCAGGATCTTTTTTTCATTTTTTCCCGTAACGCGCATTTAGCGGCTATCTGCAGCTTACGCGCGCGCGACGAGCGAGCGGCGCCGTGTCGTGTTCAAATATTATTTGCAAAAAACGCCTAGCAAACGTCGAAAAAGTAAACATACGTTGCTAGTTTGCGGGCGCGCTCCAAACAACTCGGGCTCAATAATACAATAAAACTGCAGTATTCGCCGATACTAGCGATATCGGCGTTGAACAGTTTTTTTCCGCGCGTGTTAACATTGCATTTTCTTTACACTGCAACATTGCTAAAATGTTTTTGAAAGTTTTAATTAAAATAATATACGTACATACGTTGCTTACTTGCTACGTATGTATACGTGCGAATTATTTTATTCAACTTCTGCATGCGAGATGCACGTGTTTTGAATTCACCAAACTATATAATCGATCGGAAATAGAAGATATATAAGTCGAGCAAATAATACGAGGGGCTCTTGTCGACGCGCGATTCCGCATTTGCGAGCTGGCTTACGCGGAAATATCACGGAAAACATTATTCGTTCTTGCTGGTTTTCAACGGGCGTCACACACCCGTTGACGCGAAGCGGCGCTGTGGATGCGCCTTCGAGTCGTCAAACATTTGCGTTCGCTCACATCCACCGGGGGGATACAGGCTGCAAACCGCACCGCGATAGAAGAGCGTGTAATGCGCCGTCGGATATACCGAAGCGCGTTGCAAACACGTACGAGCTCCGCACACAAGCTGTAACTCACGGGAACGTGTAACATCGCGCCGAGTACATTACGCGAGCGAGTCGTTCCGCGCGCGCACACGGCGCTCTAATGCATTCGATATCCGCTCTCGCAAGTCGGTCAAGGCTCCTCCAGAAGATGCATTTCCACTCGAGACTTTCTTCTCGCGCGCGCGGGGCAAGACCGGCGCCGTCGGTTCGAATGGCCAATGCATTTCGCCCGTCAGTGGTCGACGCGGAGAGGCAGGGTTTCTTCGTATAGAGTGAGTCGAATGGTGAAGGGAATGATTTATCTCCCACGAGTGCGAAGATTTTAACCCTCTCTCGAGTATTAGTTCCGCCGGTTGAACATCCAGACGGGAGAAAGGGAGGCCGCGAGACGGTTCTTATCGGTGTGTATATAATTTTCCGTGGTTTATCGACACACATTTAGCGGGTAAGTCACCATTTGCCCGCGCCAAACTTGCTGCGGCGAGATATACTTACGACCGACGTTTACGGTTCGCGGGGGCAACACATTGTCCCCCAAGGCGCATTAGGGCGGATTTCCCGCGTCGATTGAGTTGGCGCCGCAGTGATTTTTGCCGGTTGTGTTTCGCTATATCGTTATTCGAAATCCCGCGACAAGCAGCGCTCGACATGCGCGAAGTTTCCGCCGTTGAAGTTGAGTTTGTGAAACTTTAGTGGGAAAGTAGAACGCAAGAGATCCGCAACCGGATTTAAAATATTTATTGAAATGAGAATATAAATAAAATTGCAAACCTCGGTCGAAGCGAGGAGAAAAGGAATCTCTTTTTTAATCACATATTTTGTGACGGATGTAAATATTTAATCGGATTTTTTAGATCGATATCGTCGTATCCAAACTGAAATAAGAACGAAATATTGGAATTATTACTGCTTTGAGAGAAAACAAAATTTGATATCTATTTTACGCGAGTGGCGTTCAGATATGATTTCATCTCTATGAGAGAGCAGCTGTGTTGTTTTATTATAAAAATAAAATTGAGAGTTTGCGCGCGCGCGCAATTGAAATTGCAGTTTTGTAGTTTTGAAAAAAATTTTCATTACGAATAATATTATACGAGAATGCGAATACGAAAAAAAAAACAGATTTTTTCATGCAATAGTTTTGCCTTTTAATTTCTGACATTGAAAGTTGTTGCTCTCCTTTTTTCCCGGTGCAAGGGCTGATTTTTGCAATAGATTTTCACCGGAGTAGCGAAGCTAGCTCGGTAATTAGGACGGCAAAGTGGCCCTTGTGCTCTGCACTCGACAGTCACGACAGACCGTTGTCGGTAAGTTGCTCGGCAGTTTGTTTTCGCCGCTGGTCGAACCACTTCCACTGGTTTGTTTAAAAACAACACCGGCCCGTTGCGGTGTTATCGTAAGTTCTTCGCCTGGAACACCCGCCAGGGATAATCTCCCTATTTATAGAAGAGGGCGAAGAGTATCCCCAGTTTAAACGGGACCCAGCTCGGCTTCCTTGACTTCTCTCGTAAATACGTGCAAAAGATATAATCGGATTACACGTTTTGATACGTTCCGAGACGTTTGTAATACAACGCGCGCTTAACTGTATTTTACACCCGGGTGTATTTTCTTGCCGTTCGCCTTAGTTCTCGCGTTTCAGTCGCAATCGATATTTTTGTTCGTCTCGGATTAATAATTCGAGCGAATGTTCAGCAACTGCCAGGCAAGAATATTTTACAAAAACCTCTGTTACTTTGTTTTTAGTTTTAACTTAAAAGGAATTTAATATCTCTCTCAATTTTACATCTCAAATTTCTGCATTTTACTGAGTGTGAGTGAGTAACGCAGTTCGCAAACAATCTTCGAATAAATAACACATTTTACATGCGTATTTTTCACCGTTTTTCTTCGATTCGCTTTACTCGAGGTAATCTTTTTCAAAACGTTGCTCCGCCGCCGGGTGAGATGGGATGGGGCGAGGGACTAATGCGAGATTCGTCGTCACACGACGACCTCATCTCTCGCCTGCGATCTAGTTTATTCCGCTCACGTATCCCTATGAAATTATTCACGCTAGCCGGCGACACATTGTGCCTCGCGGTTCTGAGAGAATAAGTGGCGAACATAAAACGCGGAGGGAGCCGCGCTCCTTAACGCGAAACGCGGCTACGACGGGAACACACTATATTCGCCTCACGATTATTTTCTTCGTCATGTTTTCGCCACGTGATTCGGCGAGATCACACCAGTCTAGTAGCGGTCGCAGAAGCGATCTCCGCGTTTCTTCGCGCGGCGGAGATTAGTTACTACATATATTTCTTTCCCTTCTCCTACCGCGAGACCGCGGTGTATCATTCTGCTAGTCTATTCTGAAAATGGATATTCTAAGATAGCGCGCCAGACTATCTCTATGAGATTTGATATTTATAGCTTCGCTTGTAAGAGTACATGTGATACATTATTTGTATTTCGCCAAATGGTTGATTCAAAAATTCATTTCCTTCGACATCGATGATGTCGAAACCCTTCAGAAACGATTTCACCGCTCGTGCAAAATAACGAGCGTTAAGTCGCGCGTCTGTTTCTCGCTTACAGCTGGGATGCCGACCGTGGAATCTCAGTCTGACGAGCGTCATTATCCTGGCGCTGTCGAACATGCTGCTGACGTTTCTGCTGCTGCAATCGGAGACTTGCGCGCCCGGAGCAATTCCGCGAGAGGTGGAGGTCAGCGCGGTCACCGACTGGAATCTTGGCAACCTCATCAAGCAGGAGCAACAGCAGCAGCCACCGCCACCGCCGCCCCCGCCATCGCCGGACTGCATCACGCAGGATTACCAGTCGACGTCACTTGACGCAGACATCCTCAAGCTGGATATTAAGCTCGGCAGATGGGACGCCCGGCGGTTATTCCGCACCTTCGATTCGGTGCTGGTCGGCAACCGGTTCAGCGAACTGTCGCAGACCTATCGAGTGTGTTTGGCCACGCAGAGCTCCGTGGAAAAGCTACATTCGCTGGTGCAGGTCGCCTTGCACTGGACCGGGCCGATGTCGGTGGCGTTGTACGCCGCCGGCGACGAGGAATTCGAAGTGCTACAACGTTACCTGGTGTATTTGAGACGTTGCTACGAATCCATCCGCGAGAGGGTGATCTTCTCTCTGGCCGTGCCGAGAAAACGACCGCCTAAAAAGCAGCCGCGCGTCTTCGAGCTGCCGAACGTCGTCGATTGTGCCAAACCAGAGGCCACCCTGACTCAGCTCGCCAATCGCATCCCGAGCGAACAGACCATCTGGAGAACCCGTAACGTCTATCCGCAGAATCACATGCGCAATCTAGCGCGCAAGAACTGCCAGACGGATTACGTGTTCCTGACTGACGTCGACATCGTGCCGAGCTTCAATCTGACTGCCGCCCTCGACGAGTTCCTCAGAAGCGACGACTGTGATAAATGCGCCTACGTAATACCCACGTACGAGCTGGACACGCGCGTGAGGTTTCCCCAGAACAAGACGGAGTTGGTCAGGCTGGCAAGGAAGGGCCTGGCCAGACCCTTTCACCAGAAGGTCTTCATACACAATCAGTTCGCAACGAACTTCACGAGGCAAGTGATCCCGTTAAACGTCATTATTTCAACAATTGCTTCTCGGTCACAAAGAGCTTTAATTATAAACCGACTATAATTTATTACCGTTATTGTACACTGTTACTCGATGTTATAATTATCTATAGTCAATCTAATATTCAACGAGTTGAAATCACGATTGAAACACCGCGACGGTGTTAATTCGTAACAGTTTTCCAATAATAACTCAAATGTTATATACGCGTTATTTTAACACCGACCGTTTAAGTGTATTTTCTCATTTCTCGAGAATTATTTATCGATTGTAATCCATATTTGATCGCGTGGTGCAAAATGCGAAGCATGAATTGTTAACTGAGTGTAAAAGAGAACGCTTTATTTTATAGGTGGCTGCAGGACGTGTCGCCGAGCCATAAATATCACGAGAACGTGAAGACCGGCAGGGTCTACGTTAGTCACGACGTGACGAATTTCGAATTCCTTTACGAGCCGTTTTACGTGGCGAAGGATATCGTGCCGTCCCACGATGAGAGGTTTATGGGATACGGATATACGAGAAATACCCAGGTACGCGATATTTCCTAAGATACGTCCGCTTTTTTTCTTTTTTTTTTTTTTTTNTTTTTTTTTTTTTTTTTATTCTACTTTCGCGCGCCATCCGCGCGTAACGAATACGTTAGCAGACGGCAGTAGAATCGAAAATGCAATTTCGCCCAAGCAACGAGATAACATAAAACGGCACAACGCGCGAAAGTTTACGTTCGATTGAAAGGTGTGAGAAGAAGAGAAGAAGGAATCGGCGTATCTCTTTTTGCTAATGTGTGAAAATACTCGTATTAGAATAAGACAAGCACGTCGCGTAATCATGCAACGTTATTCAACAATACACACATCCGAGTCGGTCAGCGCAGTAGTAGCGTAAACATAGTCTGGAATGTAATAGAAAATGACCTGAATTGAAACTGCTCTCACGGCAACATCACGGTATTCACGATATTCGCGATGAAAGAACGCGCGCGCACAGGAGTGATAAAGAATATAAATGGCTCAGATTCGAATGCGACAATGATAATTGCACGAGTCGCGATGCGGTATTTTATACCGCGCAAACTGGTTTATCCCAACGTCGCCAAAGCGAAAGGTATTCCATCGAAAATTAATATACCTTTCGGAGTATTAATGGAATTAGCGAATATAAATGGCAATAATGGAGCTGCAGCCACACCGGCCATTATCGCGTTTTCACGCTCGTCTGTAAATAGACGATACGAGTTACACTGAAAGATGCACATTATACGGGGGATGTTAACGGTAAAAGCGCGTATACATATTGTGTTACGTTTTGTCAGCAAACGCGCGAAATGGAATTACCGTAAATACATATATATATATACATCGCAAAATCTCGAAAACGGAGGGTGGTGAGGGCTGATTGTGAGTCGCGGAGGAGGTCACACGAACGTGTAGCGGGTTGCCCATAAAGTTTCCCATTAAACGAGGGCGCACGTTCGCGAGATGGCGGTGTAAAACGGGAGGAAACTGCGAGAAAGGGATGTGTGTGCGCCCCGATGGATGCGGGTTCGAGGCAGGGAACTCGAATGAGCGTATCCTCGCGCGCATTAATTAAATTACATATTATTATTGCCGAGCCGTTATCGGGCGACGAAGGCTCGTTTTGCCCAAACGGACATTATTCAATTTAAACTTGAACGCATCTCCGGCCGCGTAATCGAACGTTCTCGCACGCCGGCGCGCAACCGTCGCAAATTGCGTTTGCTGATGTGCCGTGTTCGGGCGCGCGTCAACCCTCGCGTGAATCACGAAGAATCGCAAATTTCTCAGACAACATCAAACTTCCAAATTTCATCGCGTCGTAGTTTGCCGGAAATCACGTCACGCGGAAACTTTAATATCTTTGGCTAATCGATATCGTTAAATGATTTAAAAGCAAACAAAAAGGAAGGAAGAAAATAACGTATACCTCTCTGATACGTTTTTTCACAGAGATTCAATTGTGAAGCTTTGTGTTTTTCTCTTCGCATTGTTTGAACGCAGTTGCAAGAGAAATCCTGACAGATAAAACTGCACAGCGGTCTTTAAAACGTTGGACCTTTTCGTTCATTCGGTCTGTGCTTTCAGTCTATGCGCAATGCTTTGCATACTTTCTCCGCGCGCATAGACGTTCATTCACGATGTGGCACGCGAATCCCGCGTTGTTTCGACGGTGTGTGTTTTTGACTCCCACGGCGGAAATAACTAAATTCCATCGTGCGGCGAAAATTCGGCGAAAAGAGGGAGCCGCATTTCGTAAAACGAAGTATGCGAACTACCGACGGCAATAAAACGTGCATAAATCCCGCGTACACCCGCGGCCTAGTCGTCGACGCGAACAGTATAGCGCTCGACCCTTGTATGTTTCGCGACGTGTGCGATGGTGATGCGGCCGGTACAACACGCCACCGCGGATAGCGGAAGTACGTACACGTACATTGATGTTCACGCGTCTCTTCTGCGATCCGCGTCGCTCAACATCCATTCATCCTTCTGGGCGAAGGAGTGAAAATGGTATCGTTCATTTACCCTTCCATTGTCCTCGGGCAAAAGCCCGAGCGAGAGACCATCTTATTTCCGCCGCATATAACGCTCAGGACCCAGCTCGGTCTTTTGGAAATATAAAGTCTGATTCTATTGTTCTTTCTTTATTGTTTGAAAATTTTCTTTGTTTCTCTCTTTTTGTTCTATATAAAAACAAAAAATATTCGATTTACATGTGCGCATACACTTGTGTATGTAGATTGCTTTCAGAGTACGATTGACTTAATTAATCCGAGCGTTACGTTCGTTCGAAATTCAAAACGCCGACTTTTCCGTCGCCACACAGGCAAACGGCGCAACATCCGCTGGCGGTTTTATTTCCGCGTTAATTAATCTTCGGTTGTTCCCGTATACAATGCGCGCGGACAATGCGGTACGCGCCATAATCGCGATGCAATTACGCCGGTTTCCCGGCTCGGCCCTCGATTGCCTCGCTAAAATGAGCATGTTAATTGCCGATCGATTCGTTAATTCTCCATGCCGGCCTCCCCGCGTAACCTTTGTCCGGGGCTTAACGTTCCCTCGATACAACCTTCAATTACCAGTCGACGCACCAGGGCGATTGTCGACGCGCGGGCCAATATAAAGGATTTGGCCGGCGGACCGGTGATGCGCGTGGCACGCGCGCCCGCCCGCCGCTCCGTTCCGGACTTTCGTGTTCGTGCATCGCCGATCGATCCTGTCATCGCCGCGATTCGACACGCCGGCGTAGTCGAGAACTCCCCCCTCGGGAGATTCTTTATTGTCGTATTTGTCGAGCCCGCGTCGATCGCGCCGAACCGCACGCCCCGTGGCTTGATATCTCATCAGTCCGGCGTTATCGGATTCATTCGCGGATCCCAGAGCTGGCGTACCGCGATAAGTGCGATAAGCCGTGGCGCGCGCAGCGTTCGAGAGCGTGAAAGGAAAATAAGAGTATCAAAATAACTCAAGATTCATATTATAAATCGTGATTTTAAAATAATGATATAAATATTTAGTTCTTATTAGCAAGAGAGATAAGAGTTTAATGAAAAATAATCTAATATAACTTCGCAAACGAAAACTGTAAAGAGAAAAGAGGGAAGATTGATATTCTTACACTGCGATAACTAATTTGAAAGCGAAACACAAGTAGCTCGATGTAGCCATTCGCTTTCGCGAAGGACACTAATAATGAATCAAGAAGAAGGATTGTCGATTGATAAATTGTTATGTATACTATGTAGAAGCGTGCCAGAGAGAAGTTCGAATTCGCCAGCACTTTACGAGAGGTGTATTTTGTTCGTGCCGTATTACATGACGGCGGCACACATCTCATTCGCTATCTAACACTTCGTTTCTTGTCGCTAGTCGATCCATTATCCACTATCGCTCCAAGCTAATCCATAATGGGCGATACGCTCGACTCGAGGACGTAGTACGGGAACCAGTTTGGCTCTAGATGGTGCCGCGAAGAAGTGGCACCGAAGTGGCGCACGCGAACGCAGATGACTGCAATCAAATCGGAAACGAGATAGTTCGTTCTAGACGCTTCACCGTAGCAGTCACTCACTTGTGATTGAGCGATTTTGCCGTCCGGAGTCGTAAATCAAAGACGGACGCGAATAGAACGATCCGATTGCCTGAGCCGGTCGCGAACAGACGAGACCGGCTCTTTTGATCGTTTGCAATTCACCGGAAATCACGAGAGATGGACTTCGAACTCACGAACAACATAGTTGTTGTGAGCAGGAGAGAAAAAAAAACAAATCGTCGAAGATGCAAAACTAAAATTTATGCGGAGTTTGTTGTTCTTCGCGTAACCGTAAGTTTAATTATTTTTCAGAAAATAAATCAAATCTGTTGTTTTCGAACTTGCGTTTACCAACTTGTTTGTAGTTATCATATTTCTCATTAAAAAAATCCATAAATAATGTAACGCAAATTGCACGGTTTTGAGTCGAATGTATCGCATCTATTGATACCTTTCTTGCGATTGGTTGGTTGATTGATCGAGTCAAGTCGAGTCGAATTGAATCGGTAAATTGAGAGAGTAAATGATGACAAAAAAGCGATTTTGACAGTTCATCGTATAGGTAGAGAAAATTAAAATCGTGACTAAAATAAGGTCACGTGATAGGGAAAAGAGTAAAAACACTACGTGACTATACTTTAGTTACGTGTCTTTAAAAACGTAATGTCGGATAATTCAACAAGAAGTATAATTTTCGCCTGGTTAATAAGTAATGTCGGATAATCCGACAAGACTTATCATTTACTAAACCTTTGCTGGTCATTGACCTTTCGGTACAGGCCATTGATCTTTCGTTACAGGTCATTAACCTTTCGGCAAAGGTCACTGACCTCTCGTTAAAAGTCATTGATCTCTCCTTTAACGAAATTACTTATTGGCCAAGCGAACATTAATTTTTCGTCGGTTTCTTCGACATTACTTATTGGTCAGGCGAAACTTATAAGTCTTGTCGGACTATCCGACATTACTTAATGGTTATGCAAAAATTATAATTAATGTCGGATTTCTAACAGATTATGTTCACTGACACAACGTTAAAATAAAAACAATAATAGCGTGCGCGTAGCGCGGGCCTGTGTTGTCCTAGCTATATTAAAATGCGATCGGCGGTCGATATATTTTGGAGTTATTACGCAACGACGAATTATTTCGCATCGCATGTGACTCGTTAACGCGCTCACGATTCGGTTCCTTTGATATAATTTATTCCGGCGTAATTCGTCCGATGGCGCGCTGTTAATTTTTGACGTATTGCGCTTTAGCGTCAAATATGATCCGTCGCGTATTTCGTAAATGGATGTTTAATGTGGGATTAAACGATGTTGAATAAGTAAATTTTATTTTATTTCGCATTACGCGCGTGTGTATTTAAATTTGCATCCGTGGCAAAGTGCTCAGTAAATTATCCTGCGAATTCGAATTATCGGCGCGTATATATCGGGCGTCGCGCAGCTTAGCAGCCACGTTTCATAATGTA